TTATTGGCCGTTTTTATACTAGAGACGCATTATCCGTCTGGACGAACTTGGGCAAACATTTGTAGTTCGTCCGGTTATGCGTCTCTCGTGTAAAGACGGGCATAAGACGCATTATACGTCTAGACGAACTTTCATTTGAAGTGCGTCTTGAACGACGCACTTCGAAAGGTAGTTCGTCTGGACGCATAATGCGTCTTTGTGTGTAAAGACGGGCAACGGACGAATAACGTTAAGAAATGAGACCGTGTCGGAAAAAAGCCAGCGGTTATCCGCCCAAGAAAACAACATGGCGGAGTCAAGTGCAAAAGAGCGAAGTCGACCATGGACAGAAACAGAGCTCAAGTACTTCGCCCTTGTTCTGGCAGACGAAACAAACAAATTTGCTTACAAACTGGACACGCTTGCGTTGAAGAAGACTGCAAACAAACCTGTCTTCGAGGATATAAAGAAAGCCTTTGAGGAGCGCATATCCTCCGAAGAATTTAAAGAAGAAAATGACAGAGAACATCGTCAGTCTAAATCGAAAAAGGCTTTAACTCATCTGAGAATTGATGTTGAAAAGCTTCGAGTGAAATTTAAGTGGATAAAAGATCAATGGCGTAAATACACGGATCGCATCAAGAAAGGTAGTGGTAAGTCACCAATAAAAGAGCCTGAGTGGTACAAAATCATAAATCCAATTTTTTCGGACACCCATGGTAACCTGGAAATTGCTTCCAAAGCAAGAGATGTTTTGTCTCATGAGAATTCAGACACAGACAGTGACGAAGAGCAGGCAGAAACAAGTCATAGCAGTTATCAGGAAGATGATGGTGAGGAAGAGTTAACCTCCGCAAGTGAGAGTGGAACCGAAGGTGTTAAAAGGAAAGTTTTAAAAAATTCATTGGACGTAAAACCATTAGGTCGTAACAAACGAGTAAGAAGTCAGTCCCAGGCCATAAATGAGATCGCAAAGAGTTTTCACGCACTTGGAGAATCACAGCAAAAGCGTTGTGAAAAGATGATGGAAGCAGACAAAGAAAGGCATGCTGAATTTCTTGCTTTTCAGAAAGAGCAAGCGGAATTGAATAGGCAGCATGAGCTAAAGATGCTTCAAATCATCATGAAATATTCAAATCCTCCACCCCAAGGAGCACAGCAGCATCTCCAACAACAAACAATACCTGTGCAGCCTCTTGTACCTTATTACAATCCAATGCCATATAGCCATACCCCTCCAACCAATCAAGTGGCAAGTGATAGCCAAGATAGCCACATTTTAGACATGGATAGCCAGAATGATCAAAGATCCATGCGTTGGTATTAGCAAGAGTTCCATTAAGGGTGGGGGACTCATGTTTATGGAGGAGTTGGTGGGGGACTTTTCTTTTCTATAGACAGGGTCCTCTATCACACTTATCTTTATTGAGCAATACTGTGAATTTAAGGGGGCATGAGCTTCCCTCTTGCGTATTGAAACCTCAGACATGTTATTACAGGCAGTTGTGTTTACTTGTAATCCATTTATTGTCAGTTGTGATAAAGGTACCAAAATGTAACCAGTAATCCAGACACTAACATCATTACTGTTCTGTAATTGAAACAAACCATTGTTACAAAGTTTAACGGAAGTACAACTTTATAACACTTCTATAGAATTGGATGTATTGGTTAGGGACTGGTCATTATTTATGTAAAGGGTGGGGGAGGGAATTTTTTTTAAGCAATAAGTTTTATTCTTGACCCACCCCTGAAAATTTTTCATTTACTGTTTGACTCACCCCTCAAATAAATGTTATTTTTTAGGCTATGACTCCCCCCCCCCACCCCCCGCCCCAGTATGCCCTCTATGAGGATGAGGTTAACAAGAAGTTCCAACAACAAATAAACAAGAAAACAGCAGCAAAAATACTTGTTATTCTTTGAAACCAAGGCTGTTTTGCTTTGGACTGTCATGAATTGGTTGGAAATACCATTGAAAGACTTGAAATTATGTAAAAACTTATGTCAAGTAGGTAAAAATACCAGTTCAAGTCTTTCATCATAATATTTCAAGCCAATAATTCATATCAGACTGTTAAGCAGTCTCAAGCTTTTAACCAACCTCGGTTTTTGAGAATGACAATTAAGTATTTCTTTTGTGCTGTTTTTGTTTAGTTGATATAAGAACTTCATGTTCATTTTTGTTGTTGTTGTTTGTCCTCCTATTTTTGCCTTAATACATGTCATTTTATACTGCCTTCAAGAATATTCCATCTCCTTTCATATAAAAAAATAAACCTGACCCCCCTCCCTATGATTTTGTCCTACTCCCCCCTTTTTACCAGTTTATCTAGTTGTTTGGTTGCTTTAGCAAAGAGTATTTTACTTCCAGATTACTTAAAATAACTTGAAATAGCAGTAATTTTTACACTAATGGATGAAAGGAAAGCAAAACTTCTGGTTCATACTTAATGTATCAACAAATATTATTTGCTATATCTATTGTGAAGGGAAAATGTTTGAAAAATATTTTGAATATCAAATTTGAATCTATTTACATGTAACAAAACCTGTTTTCCATCAAATCTGCTAAGGATCAAGTAAAGTTCAGTTTCTCAGTTTTTGCCTTTGTTATTAATTTGAATACAGAATCAAGGGGCTGCATTTCTTTCCTCTCTGATATCCCACAACCAATTGGCAACGGCTTCTCTTGTTGTATTTCCATCATCAGCTTGGGCATCTCCATTTCGAATCAGATTAAGTTCATTGACCTGAAGTCTCCACCTGGGGTTACAGGGATCACTTCGGTGGATGCAAAGATTATGGAGAGCAATGCAGGTCATGATGATGAGGGAAATGTTGTCTAAATGACATTCTGTCTTTTTGTAGAGAATTCTCCACCGCCCCTTTAACATTCCATAAGCATGTTCAGAAACTACCCTTGCAGAGCAAAGTCTCCTGTTAAAATACCTTTGCTTAGGTACCCTTGTCCCATCTTTGTATGGTTTTAGAAGCCAGGAATGGTTGGGAAAGGCTGAATCACCCACAGTGGTAAACGGAATCTCCCCATGAGGGTCAAGATTCAAAGACCTGTTAGGAAGCACGTGACCAGATTCGATGTCAGAATAAATACCACAACTTCTTAAAAGCCTAGAGTCATGTGTGGATCCTGGGGCGCCCACTGCAGCCCACATAAAACGCTTGTTATAACCAATGAATCCCATGTTTGTAACTGAATACCTCTTCTTGTAACTGTAAAAGTTCTTAAGTTTAGTGCTTACGTAAACATGAAACCCATCCCACGCCCCAACACAAGGAAACTCCCAATTTCCCAGAAAATTTTCCAGTTCTTGACTCCACTCTTGTAGATTTCTTGGCAGGTAAACGAATCTGTCATACAAACATCCCACAATGGCCTTACAAACGTCTTGGAAAATGATGTGAGCAGTTGATTCTGCAACCCCAAAGAGGTCTCCAACGGTCAAAAACGTGCACCCGTGTGCTAGTCTGTATAGACATAAAGCCAACTGGGTAGCAGGCGGAGTAGGGTGAGGCTTCATGCGAGTGGGCTCCTTCACGATAAGGTCTTTAATTTCGCTTAGAATAAATTCAAAAGTGTCTCGAGACACCCTTAACCTTTTCTTGAAAGATTCTTCATCCCAGTTTTGATATCCGTTTGTCCACCAATTTCCGTTCCTCAACTTATCATGACCACGCTCGTTTCTGTCGCTTTTTGTAATCACGATTGCTGACATAACAGCGGGCTGTGAAGCTTCAGTTTCGAACTCCATCTCCCTACGAAAACGTTTCTTTGCCATTTCTTCCTTTAACCTATATTGGTCACCTAAAAACTCTTGTTCTGCCTTTCTCTTACGGGAAAAAAATTTGAGAAGTTCAAGCGCGGCCGCCATCTTTAAATTTTACAAACAGATGAATTTGAGACCCTTTGATAGCACGCTGACTTGGCTGTCAGATGGTTGATAGTTTGACAGGTTTTTAAAGAAATTTTCATTTTCTCGGTTTTTTGGCTGCAAGCCTACATTTTAAAGTGTTTTTACGCTCTGTGTCTTAAGCTGTTTGTTCTGCTTTCGCTGATATTAAAGCCAGCTTTTTTTAGAATCAGAGCACACAATTATATTTTTCATCTCTTTTGTATAAAAGTGAGCTCTTTGAGGTCAGAAATCTCAATCCTCAATTCGGCTATTTTATCATTCTTATTTACAATGTTCACCGAGTACTTTCCTTTGTGTAAGGTATTCTGCCAGAGAGTTGTTAAAGGTGGATATTGATCAGCTCATATGTAAAGGTGACAAAATCCGTGGAGGTTCGTAGACTTCGCTTTCCGGCGTCGAGATCGCACTGAGGACGGTTTTTCTTGTCCCTTCTCTTCTTGAACGGTAGGCACTGAACCCGACAGAATTCTTCGCCTAGATCCTTCAAAGTACACAGATCTCTCGAAACAGTCCTCCGAGAAGTGTTCGGAGTAGATCACAAATATTTCTGTAGGATTGAAGTTTACTCTGCGAGGTCGCACAAATCGCATCCGTTTTTCCCGCTCTGATCTATTTGCAAGGCACCGATGCAGAGAAATACCTGCAGTATGCTCTGCACGATTACTTCAGCTTTGAATTATGCATCGATGCCCAGTCATTTTTGTTTAATTTTTGTAAGATCACAGTAAAGCACTCTGTTATGTTTGCTTGACATTTTACCATGTGAGATTTTCGCGTTGAACCTTTGACGTCACTTCCTCTGAGTCCTGCGATCAACTTCCGGAACATGATCAAATAATGGCGGACGCAAAGTCATGAATTTAACGGCCCGAAAAAAGATATTTCTGGTGCCCGGTCTAAACTGAAATTTGGCAGAGTAGTTGAAGGAGACACACTGAACACGAAAATGGAAAAAAAATGATGTACGAAAATTTTGATCTCAGGGGCACTTTAAATGATCCCTTACAAAAAAACTAATACTAAAAGAATACGTGCTTAAACGCCCTGCAGGCTTCAGGCTTCTTTTCACATCAGCTTTTAAGCCTTACTCCAACCTAGCAATCGTTGTTTTATAACAATGCAGCTTTTTTAGGACAATATGGAGATATTACCCTTACTTTGAGATAAAAATATGATAGGTCTGTATGAAGGATCTGTTTGATTCACAGTCTCTTGATCCGTTTTACCTTGAGAGGGTGATGGTTAAAATCGTTAAAAACAGCCCCAAAATAGATAGAGAACATCCAACATCAGATATGACCGACAGTGCATTCTGGTGACTCTCTGGGATGTCATCGCTTTTTCGCAAAAGTATTTTCGGTTCAAAATCGTGTTCCCTCTTGAGAAGATCCAGATAGTTCTTCACTTGGGATTCTGGGAGCTCCTAGGTAACAAGAAAAAATAGTGCCTAAATGTGTATCCTGTAGAAAGCTCTAAACAGAGATAAAGTGTAATTACTGGCCATTAAACAGGGAGTACATAAATTGAAGAAAGGTATGAATGTTGTACCCACCTTGAAACGGAAAGCTGTGTTGTTTAGCAAAACTGTGGGATACAGCTGATAATGAGCTATTATTCTGAGGTAATCCCAACAAGCATTCTGTATTCCTTCTTTAAGTCCAGTTAAATCCTTGGACGGGTTGGTCATGTTTATATCAAGTCGCATCACCATTATGAAGTAGACTCCACTAAAACAGAAAACCAAAATTTCAATATTAAAATTACGTCTCGTAACGTGCAATCTTTTGGCTCAAGATGAAGTCTCCTTCGATGTGGATCTTTACGTTTTAAGCGCAAATTGCTGGTCTCCTTTAGGCTATATATTCAGTTAACGTTGTACACTCTAACATCAGTTTGTTTTTTCTCCATACTGTTGTCGATACATTTCCTAAGATGCTGACAAGGAGAATTTGTTTAACAATCAAGAGCTTGAGTAGTTGGTGATCATTTCCTTTATTCCTGTGACCTTGATATGTGATTTAGAGATGATATTGTCAGGAGAAGCAGGATGCTAGTCACTCTTAAGGGTCAAAGGGCTAAGTGTGTGAGACAAACAATAGTTCATTGATTTATTTTGTGAAAAAAGCATTAATAATAATCTAATAATTTATTTACTTATATAGCGCCCTTTAACATTATAGGATGATCATTATAGGATTAATTTTAGAATCGTATTTTACAAAGATGAATGACCACAACCTCGCTTAGTGATATGAAACAAATGCTTNNAAGGAAATTGTCGTTTCCCTGAAATCTTGCATGGTTGTTCTTAATTTCTCCAAATCTTGAAAGCTTAAAAATTACTACGCATTGTCCCATAGGATGGCAATCTAATCAAATAATGGAAAACGTGTATGATTTAATGATTCCTAGCTGCTTTTTCATACTTTCCCATAAACTTAGGGTGCTTTGATTTCTATAATTTTTCTCTCAAAGAGTTTTTAGCCAATCAAATTATAAAATTAAACAGATCAATTACATCAAACTGCGGAGTCTTATGTTTTTTACATTCGAGAAGATGGCCTTCCGTAGCAGGGATCCATATTATTTACGTATATTCGGTTAGCTTGTTAATGATTTTTGTATTTTTTTCATTAAAATTTCACATTTGTTTCCCAAAACTGAAGTCTACCCTAAATAATCTTTTTCCAATGTACAACTACCGGAAATTGGTAAATTTGATTTGCAGATATCCAGTGGTGCAATAGTAAACGACGCCAAAAACACTTTCGTGTATGATAACAATTCTATTATGAGGTCTAAAATGTAATTTGGATTAAAAAGAGGCCTTAAAAAACTAGCGACGAAAACCATACTACTTTTAAGAGTATTTTCATGCTCAGTTGTTTGCAACAGTTTTGTCTTCAGAAACTGAGGAAAAACTAACGGAGGATTTTTAATTCTTTTTTCTACTTTTAAGAAGGATTTTTTTAAAGAAATGTATTTGTATGGGTAACACCACCATGCCAAAAATCTGAACAGGAGTCACTTTCAGATGAAGCTATAAAATCATGATCCGTCTAACGACAACTATTTTTGATGCTTATGATGTATCTACCTCGAAACTGGCGAATATAGTCCTTAACGGACCAATTGATAATACTTAAGGATAAAAACTGAATATGTCATACTATGAATAGTAGTGCTATAATGTGTCCAAGTAAATAAAACCTAACGTTTTACGAAGGCTTGACGAGGCTTTGTTTTATAGAACAATGGTGTATAAAAGCCAGCCTTTGTCAGGCTTAACTTGTTCCCATTATATTTCATTGCTATTTCACGAGTATATACTAACCTTCTTTGAGTCTAAATATGCATGACCATCCCTTAAATTACTTAGTGATAGTAGTGCATACATTTTATTCAAATAACATTGCTACACATGTAGCTCATCGAAAATAAAATTCAAATGGACGAGAGTGTTCCTATGACCGCCATCAGAACGCAGACACAAACCTTGCTTATTAGTTACTGTTTCGCACTCGGTTGATGTAGATGATCACTGGCAAGATCTATGAAAGTTTTAAAAGTTAGAAAGACTTAACCCTGCAGTTGCATGCTTGATTTACCACAATTGTGTTTTACCATAAACAAAATATTCGCAC